TAAAACCATGGAACTTTAACTTTTACTCCATTAAGATAAATGTATCTATATCTTCATACATAGACATGTAGTAAACCTAAATGTTTTGGCAAATGATGTAATTCGAGACGTAGCATTGTTCCGACGAGATTATACATTGGCCTTACAACTTACTTTGAGATGAGGTGAATTTCTCGCAAGACTCAAAAAAGGTTTCGAGAGCGATGTCAATGTGCAATGCTGAGAGAAAAGTTTCTACTAATATCCTTGTAGTAGACATTTTTTAATATCTCCTGGTTGAAAATTGCATTAAGGCTTTGTCACGACTAACCTTTGAAATTTTTAAAGCAAAATATCTTGCGCTTTCTACACTTCGTATTAGCTACTTTGGCTGTTGGGCTAAGATAACGGCAACTTTGAACTGTCTTATATTGCCTTAATCAATTATGGTTCATTTTAATTTATTTACTAGATATCAACTTAACGCGAGTTTTTAAGCCTCCCAAACGGAATGGCGGAGCCAAGCCTGGCCACTTGAGTGATTTTCTTCTCGAGTTCTCATACTGTTTGTGTTCGTTCGGCTCTTTATTTTACTCTCAGGGCCGCCTCCAAGTCAAACCCGAGACGCCTGGCGACGAGGATATCGACGCTGAGTTCATGCCATCTGATACACAGGGCACAACCGTATCTTTATCCTCTTCTCCACTTGGCCTCAATACTGTAGTCTCGTCCTGCGGCACACTTAAACGTCGCGTCAGCGTGCTTATACGCGATGGCCTCCCAGGAGCCGCCTTATCAAGTGACTTCACCAATGGTCCCACCTCAACCTCTAATTCTGGACTTGGCCTTAACAACCCCAAGCGCCGCTGCCCAACACCAAGTCTCCACAAAGAGACTCACTCTCGCTCTCCTGATGCAATCGCCTCTAATTGCGGTGGGCCCAGCACCGCACATTTTGGCTGTAGCCCGCACTCAGTTTCACATAACATTGCCGCGCTGGCGGGAGGAAGCACCAATTCAACTGCCTTTATTGGGAACAGCACACAGCCTTCCGCATGTCCTGTATTGGCACCTGGTGGAGGCGGCGGTGGCAGCAAAAATAGTACAAATAACCAAAGCATGCTTTCTACATCAGGGCAAGGAGGTCAAGTATTGCCATGCTTGACCTTTGGCACAGAAAGTACCACCCCAGCCTCATCGTCCACCCCCTCTTCCTCTAATTCGTCCACTTTTGTTGGCCTTTCTTCATATCCACTTTCTTCTGGAGCCTCATTAGCTGGCTTGGCCAACTCCGCCAGTTATTGCCTCGCTCAGACGGCCTCGGGCAACTCCACGACAGGATGCCGCCAAAGTCATGCCACTAGCCTGCCTGGTTCTGTAGCTGCCTTCACAGTTCCTCTTTTAGAGGCGAATAGCACGACTTCCACTTGGGGAGGGCAATTGGTACATATATTAAATATAGAAAATATAATGAAAATTCGTATGTGTATCGTATTTTTAAACTTTATGAATTACCTTAATATCAATTAGCTTAGCTTTGCTTTATTCATACATAAAAGTATGTGCCTAAATTTCTTAGACTGTTCTATTCTCTTATTTTCATTTATCTATAATGTCGGAAATTTTTTCGGTAAAGGAGTATCTCCGTATAAACAATGTGCATTTGTACTACTAATTAGT